CCTATGTTGTTAACAAATGGAAGATGAATTAATTGTTGAATTAAATTTCAGCAATTTGATGGAATATAATGTGTTTATAAAACTTGTTTTAGAATGCATTCAAGTGCATGATAAGGTCATTTAATTATTAATTTTGATCTATGCATGCTTAGGAGGCTAGTTGCTGAATTATTATATCGTTTCCTGCAACTATATGGTTAATGCTTGGATTTAAATTGCCGAAATATTAAACAATCTTCTGAAATTGTTTTAGCAATTTATTGGATAATAATAGGATTATTTAACCTATTCAGATGCATGATGGAGTCCATGACATATTAAATTTGGTCTATGCATGCTCTGGATGTTAGTTGTTGATTTGTTAAATCGTCTCCTGCAACTATATGGTTAAATGCTTGGATTTAAATTGCTAAAGCTTTAAATATTTTTCTGCAATTATTTGGATGGTGGTTTTTGGGTCTGTAAATTATTGAACTGTTATATATGTTGTAATTTACATGGATATGGAGGATTGTATGTACCGGTATGGGACGGTGACATACTAGGGACGGTTTAGCTCAAAACGCATAAACCTAACCTAATGGATTAATGGAATGGATTGGAAGATACCGAATCCTAATTGTGACTAAGTCAGATCAGCTGTAAGCAAGTTGGATGACTTCCTAGATTAACGGATGGTAGTTAAGTCATATCAACTGAATAAGTTGAGTGACTAACTAGTTGGTTTATTGTATGTCAGTTTAATAAATAGTTGAACTGCATACCCTAGATTTGGACGGACTTTATATATATGTTTATGGTACCACGAGTTGAGCTTGAGTCTCAGACTCGTTGGTTAGGGTGTGTATATGCGGTGGATGCGTAGCTAGTTATAATAGGTTGAGGTGTACCCTGTTAGGTCTAGGTACTCATGCCCACCTTTAGGGTGCGTATTTGCATGTTACCTTCTATTCAGGTTGAGACCCCTATTATAGACTAGTGAATGTCCCTTAGTGTGGATATATTTATACGTATGGACTAGATAGATATTGTGAGGTGTCTACGGTGTATCTGCGTATCGGGTCACTGTATGGATTGCAGTTAGATTAGAACTTGCTCGTGGGTCTGACCCACTCCTTTATTATTCTTTTCAGGTACAGGACGGTTCCAGCCTTAGAGCTTGATCGTGCTTGTCGAGGACAGTCTCACTTTCATCGGATTACGTAGGACTTCCCCCGATGTTTCTAGTATTATCTATTTTCAGTTTCAGTCTCAGCTGAATTTTTAGTTAGGGGTCCATCAGTGGATTCCCAAGTTGTAACTTTGAAGTTTTGGAGGATTGGAGTTTCAATTTTCAGTTACACATGGAGGATTTTATTATTATTATTTCTTTCAGTTTTATTCTATCTTTATTATTCTTTTTTGTCATCTGTGTTCGTTTTAAAATACTTTAATTGTTTGATATTCCCTCGAGTTTGGGTCTGGGCCTGATCAACCCGTGTTTCGGATCCGAGGGGTATTGTTTATGATGCCATTGGCTATATATATATACACCCATGCCATCTCCCTCTTATTTCAGGACTACTCTTCCTAGTAGCTCTTTTTCTTTGGTATGTAAGTATTTTTCATCTTTTTGGTTATTACATCTGCATCCTTTTTCTTTTCTATTTTTGTTTTATTTTTCTCATTTGATCCTCAAAAAGTTGCATATCAGCGGTAATTTTATAGCCACACACGTGCATTAAATGTGACAATTTTTTTTTGATAAGTGACAAATTTTTATCTCAATATAAAAGGAAGAGCTAATTTCATTTGCAGTTCTACTCATGCACACGCTTAAATACTTCACTCACGATTCTATTGGTTAGTAGTTCACCGATTAAGAATCTATATTCCTCCGTAAAGAATTATGCATTTCTTCTTTTTCTTGAATTACATAGTTGCACACAAACAACACACATAAAACATATACATATATATTTATAATGCTTTTTGATCTAATTACTTTCTCATGCAAACTTTGAAGTGCTAAACTTATCAAAAGCTTTAAAGTTTCCATGGCGAACGGGCAGAAAGTTGTTTTCAGGCCATATGGTGGTACTGGAGGAACCTCATGGGATCACGGAACCTACAACGCCACCACGATAAGGGAATTAAATATACGCACCGAAGTGTCAACTCTTGATAAATCGAATATTATTTCCTTACACATTTGTTATGTTGTCGAAGGAAAGGCTGTATGGGCAACGAGGTATGGTGGTCCTATTACTGCGGGAGTTGTAAACTAGGTAATATATATATATATATATATATATAATTTAATTTTCAAATTTGCGACACAGTACAAATTTATTTGATTCTATATTTGTCAATCCTCTCAAATTTTTGTAAAAATTAAGCTAGCTAGACAACATAACATCTCAATTTTCTTACTATTTCATTTAGGACTGTACCACATCATTATGTGTGTGTGTGTATTATGCAGAAAGAAAAAGAGGGAGGAGAAAAAGAAAATTAAACTCAGTTAGCAGAACAATTGAAAGAAATCTAATAATTAAGCCACGATAGCATTTTAAGTTTCAAATATTCAAGTGACATTCACATCGATCACATTGATAAGAGTCATATCAATTAATCAAATCCTCATTCATCCAGGACCTCCTCATAATAAAATAATGTACTTAAACTTCATTATAATTTCAATTTATTAATCATTGCTACTACAATTATTACCATTATATATTTTTTTAATGTTTCACTTATTGCTACTACAATTCGTTCTTCTAATTGTTGGATATATATGTTGATTTACTATCTTAAAGACAAGATCCAAATCATATGATGGCTCAGGGGCACCTGCTCCCTCATATATATATATAAATATGGATGTAACCAATGTAGGCTCAGGGGCACCTGCCCCCTCGCTCTAGACATATTGTGTGTGTGTGTGTGTGTGTATATATATATATATTTAATGTACATATATATATATATATATATATATATATATATATATGAGAAATTTTACATAATTTCTCCCAACAATTTTTAATTGCTAAAAATATCTCTTAATTTTTTATTTCTTTTCTTTTTTACTATTCATTTCTTCAATCAAATCCTAATTTTTTTCCTTTCAAAGTTTTCTCATTTTATTTTATTTCTTTTTCTTTTCTTAAAATTCATCTTTTTTCCACTCAAGTATGATGTATGTACTATAACTTTTTTTTCCATCTTTGTTTTTTTCTCTTCTTCTTATCTAAATTTATTATTGAAATTTTACGAACTCAACATGTGCAATTTACATATTTGAATCTTCACTAAAGTGTCGTTGTTGCACTTCTATGTTCAGATTATTGCCTTACTGTACTGATAGATGTCATGTTAGCTGCAAAAAAATTACCCTTATCATGTTCAATATGCCTCCCCTTGAATTATTTTGTCTTTGTTACTGTTTTTATTAATGCATTCATGCATGGCTAAATTTATTGAGGGTAATTAAATCAATAGAAAAAATAGGGTAGCTGCCCAATTTGATGTAGATAATGAGGCAATGATGCATTATTTTCAAAAGGGCAAAGTACAGAAAACTCCTTTGACTTGTAACATTTTTCAATAAACTCTTATCTATTTTTTTATCAAAGAACCCCCCTCGACTTGTAGCCTTTTTTCAATAAATCCCCCTTATTTAATTTTTTACCAAAGAACTCCCCTCAACTATCTGAAAGGAGTAAAAGAGTTGATATTTGGACCAAAATGTCATTTTATTTAAATCTTAATTCTCCTGAACTTCAAAAATTCATATCTCACAAACCATACATTTAAAAATTAGGGTAAAGTACACTGACACCCCCTGAGGTTTGAGATAAGGACAGCCAGATGAAACTTAGCCTATTCTGGGACAAAGACACCCCCTCAAGTTTGATACAATAACCAAAGACACCCCAATGGTAATGAGTTGACATTTCTGTCCTTTGACTTTTATATTGACCATGAAATGACATTTCTGTCCTCAGATACCCGTTCCAATTTCTTTCTCTCTCCTTTGTTCTCTCTTCCGCCGCCCCAACACCAACGCACACACATACATATATACACAGACACATACATATATATATATATATGTACATACATATATGTGTGTGTATATATATATATGTATATACAAATACATATATATATATACACACACATATATGTATGTATATACAAGTGCCGATGGTGAATGGATGTGGGCCTTCATCCTTCGATTCCATCGGTGAGCTTACCCAAAGCCGGAGTACGCAAGTCATGAGTTGGGCTTAATGGCGGCGGTGGCAATAGTTGTTCGACGAGGGCGACGGTGAGTGCTCTTGCTTGGTTGATTCTCTCTGTCAGGTCTTGATATATCCCACGGTAATGCACAAAATTGGAGCCATCAGTCTGACGAAGCTTTAAACTACAAGACCCGATTCTGTCCAGCGAGCCCCAAATCCGGTGAAACCCAGTTCAGATCGACGGACCCCAAGCACGAACAGTTCCCACGACCCAGAAGAAGAGAATGAGGTTTCAACAAATTGAGAGGGATCGCAGAGAACTGGGTGGTTGCGCCGCCTTGCGTAATCGGAGGGTATGCTGAGAAGGGTACGCAGATCTGACTCTGCTTTCTAGATGATTGAGAGGAACTCTTTCCCTCTGTGGCTCATTTCCATCACGCTCATTCTGGTTCCATGCCAATTTTAGAGCTCGGATTTGGCCATCTTGGGCACGTTTTCAGGTAGAGTGGCCGAACTGGCGGTGAAATTGAAGACCTGATCTTGGGATTGGGAGGTGGAGGTTGGGTGATCTTGGATTTGGGTTGTTGAATATATGATCGATATGGGTTTGTTGAGGCACGAAGATAGGTTGAGGGGGAAGCCATTGAAGTGGGTGGTGGTGATTGTGTTGGGGCTTTTGAGAAGGTGAAGGTTAGGGTTTTTCAGGAGGAGAGGATGAGGTGAAGTTGTTGACATTGCCATGGTGTTTTTGAAGTTGTTGACATTGCCATGGTGATAGACCGAAAGCTTGATCCTTCCCTTCCATTGGAGAGCTTGAAGGCACGGTGGTTTGGGGGTGGGTGTTGGTGGTTGTGGAGTTTTGGTGTGGTTGCTGCAGAATCCGGTTGTGAGATTGATAGGGTGTTGAGGGTAATTTGGTCATTTAATTATTTTAATATTTTATAATTAAAATTTATAAAATAGTGAAGGGTAATGTTGACTTTTCATATGTTTTAAGGCTCTGTTTGGCTTGTAAATATTATAAGGGGGTGTCATTGTCCCAAAATAGAGTAAGTTTCATCTGGCTGTCCTTTTGACAAATCTCAGGGGGTGTTAATGTACTTTACTCTAAAAATTATATATATACAATATATGTACGGAAAACTTATGAAATAAGAATTTCAGAAATATAAGATTTGTATAACAAACCTTCATAACTAGAGAGAAATAGGCAATATAAAAATCTACTCCAACAATCTTAAAAAATAAAATACTCGAGAAATTTGCAAGAAAATTTTCAGAATTATTCATTTACATATGGAGCCAAATATATATATAAAAAAAATTAGCCCCAACAAAGACCGATTTCATGGTATATCATATTTTGCGTCAAAAATATTTTCATTCTTTTATAGACTCACCATTTTAAAAAATATAAAAATGAATATTTGGTCTCTATTGGGGCTAATTTTATTTTATTTTATTTTTTTTTTTTTATTTTTTTTTTTTATTGTTATGCTCCATATGAAATGAATAATATTCTCAAAATTTTCTTGCAAATAACCTGAGTATTTTATAAAAAATAAAATAAGATTGTTGCAGTAGATTTTTAGATTGTCTATTTCTCTCTGATTATGAAGTTTTATTAAACAAATCTTATACTTTTGGAATCTTTGTTTTATAAGCTTTCCGTGTACATATTATTCGTAATATTTGGATGTATAGTTTGTGAGATATGAATTTTTGAAATTCAAGAAAATTAAGATTTAAATAAAAGGGTATTTTGGTCCAAATATCAACTATTTTACCCCCCCTTAGATAGTTGAGGGGGGTTCTTGGTAAAAAAATTAGATAAGGGGGATTTATTGGAAAGGGTTACAAGTCGAGGGGATTTACTGGAAAATGCTATAAGTCGAGAGGGGTTTTCTGTACTTTGCCCAATAAGCCCTTTTCAAAATAAAAAAGCCTGTCTTGGACTGTTGTATAGTGTATGTAATTATTGCAAATCAATACTTTGGTTCTTAAACGTGGTAAGGATTTATCTTTCTTATACTACTCCTTGGTTAACGTATTATTTTGCAATGAATTTTGTTTTATATTTTTTATGGCTTGCTTTTTGGTTTGAACAATCTATATTTGTCATTTGAATTTTCTTTTATCAATTACACTATCCCGGGCTGCGAAATGAAATATTGACCTCGTTATAGCATATATATAAATTCTATATACATATCTTAGAACTCCACAATCCACATTACGAAACATACAACTATATATACATATCTTAATATACAAACCTATTATTTGTGATTCGAATGTTGTTTCGGCCAAGGTCCCATTGCAACCCGGTTTCGATCCGATTATTGGGCTTTGCATTTGATTCTTTTTAATCCATTTTGTCTTACGGGTCATGAATTTGTATTACAGTCTCTATTGTGACCAAGTTTTGTAGTATCATATGAGAAAACATTGAAAGACGAAATAGGGCGTGAAAGAGACAAAACATTGGGGCCTTGAAAATTTGTAATCTTTTTTTTTTTTTTTTTTTCGCATGGTAAAATCTTTTTGCCGATCTTTAATATGAGCGATACGGTTTTATGTCCCTTTATTTTATTTTATTTTATTTATTATTTATTATTACTATTATTATTATTATTATTATTATTTTTTATTTTTTTATTTTTATTTTTATTTTTTTTTTTTTTTTGCGTTTGCGGTTTGTTGGTGTTTATCATAATTACTAAGTTGTTGTTAACTGAAATAGGTGAAACTAAACGATCCTACCGAATACCTCATTTCGATATCAGGGTACTATAGTTTTGGATCTCAATTTGTGAACTCTCTTACATTCCAAAGCAAGATAAGGCATTATGGACCATATGGTAAGGAAGAAGGAACTAGTTTTGTAATCCCGATAACAGCTAGCAAGATTGTCGGATTCTTTGGAAGAGCGAGTAATTATATAAATTCGATTAGAGTATACGTTAAGCCATTACCAACTATAATAATTGTTGGCCCATTTGGAACTACTGGTGGGCAACAGTGGAATGACGGAACCTACAACAATGTAAGGGAATTAATTATACATGCCGGAGCGTTAATTGATTCCATTCAAGTTGTCTATGATGATGTCGATGGAAACCTAGTATCGGGAGAAAACCATGGTACTGTCGGCGGCGCAAAATTCACGGTTAGTTATAATTTTCCATTTAATACATAATAATAATAATAATAATAATAATAATAATAATAATTCCTCTCTTTTGTTGATGATTTTACTATTCAAGCTTTCATTTATGCTAATATGAATGCTATGTAAACTTACCTTTTTAAAACCAATATAACTTGTGTAGGTCAAATTAGACCCGGATGAATTTTTGCTTCCATTTTGGGGCTACTATGGACAAGTCGCTGACATGGTTGTTATCCGGTCACTTGGATTTCAAAGCAATAAAAGAACGATTGGACCATTTGGCGTGGAGGAAGGAAAGAAATTTCAATCCTCATCCACTTGTAATAAGATCATTGAATTCCATGGAAGGTCCGAGAGCTTTCTTAGTTCAATTGGAGCATATCTTTCTGAGTCATCTCTTGCCGCAATACCTGTTGAGGCTATAATGCTTGAGGCTATTGAGGCTACTGAGGCTACAATACCTGCTGCTGAGGCTACAATGCTTGAGGCTATTGAGGCTACAATACTTGCTGGGGATGCAATGCCTGATGGTCTACTTTGAGGTCCTAATGGACAGCAGTCAGAACCATCCTCCTCAAGTGAAGGTAAAATTTAGCCAATGATCATGAGCCACCTTTTAGTAGTCGTTTTTTAATTATTAATAATTAAATGCATATATTTGCATTCGATGCAGTTGTAATAATGGATGCTCTGTGTTGTCCTTAAAGCTTGGTCAAAGTGGTTAAGGCAACATACATTTGTGTCCGTGTGTGTTTTGTGTATCTTTGTGTGTTAAGTCTCAAAGTTTCAATTAGTTATGTATTTTGTGAAATTATGTCAATACAGTGATAAGATGATATTATATGTCATCTTTGGTATTCCTAATAATAAATTGGGGGCTGTTGTTGCAAAAGAAGCTAGAATCTTGTTGGTTGTGCATGAAAAGATTTATCTCGTTTAAATATAAATCATAGTCTGACATTGGATCTATTTTGTAGATGGATAGTATAGAAAAATTTCGCTTTCTATATCTAATGATTCCAAACTCTTATCTCTAGCCATAATATATCCTTATATCTCAAAGAGGAAAATATATTTTAATATTAAGAAAATTTTAAATAATTTATGTTTTTTCGGTAAAGCTGTAAACAAAGCTTCCACAAAACTTGCAAATAACAAAGAAAACTAACAAACAATATACACAAGTTTACTACTGTAACAAATTCGAAAGCACGAGCATTGGGTGACATATGTAAATGCCTTACCATAGTTTCAAAGAAGTTAAAAAATTCCTAATAATTATTGCATTTTTGTTTTATTAGTTAATACTTACACACATCCCTTCAAGAATTTTTTTGCACTCAAAAGGAGTCGAATCTTAGACCTCATATTTACTTCTTTCTTATTTTTAAATTTATCATTTTTTTTTTTTTAATATTCATTTGCAGCCCACTTAAATTGAGCAATCAAGACTAGAATTGACCTAATGAAAACTAGGCCTGTAATTCCTACTTTACAGTCAGGGCCGCTTCATCCCTAAAATAAATAAAGAATGCTTAAATAATTCAATTGGAATATATATATATATGAGAAGTGCTAATTGCAGTCGCGCAAACGACTGTTTATTCACAGTCGCCAATTATGATTGGTTAGTTTTGAATGCATTTATTACTTTAAATTTCTATTTTTATGGACTCTACTAACATTACTTTTTAGACAAAAATACCCTTTTAAATTATCTAAACTTTCTTCTTCTCTCTTCTTTTAATCGAGTATGTTAGTTATGTGATAGGATAATTCATTCAAAAGAGATGGATGGATTCGGAAAAAAAAATAAAAGGAAGAAAAAAATAATAAAAGAGCGAGAAAAAAATCCAAAAAGAATAAAAAAAAAAAAAAATCGATTATATATTTCTTCCTTTTTTGTTTTTTCATATATATATATATATATATATATATATATATATATATATATGTTTCTTTTTGTTTTTATTTTTTATTTTTTATTTTTACAACTATCCATGTATAAATGAATTTTTTTAAAAGAAAAGGAAATAATTTCTTCACCAAAAAAGAAATATATACGTATATAAAACTAATTTTGTATATATATTTTTTAAATCTCAGAATCTATCTTGTTCTTTTTTGGATTTTTTTCTATCTTTCTTTTTTTCTTTTTCTTAGGATTTATTTCTTGTGAATGGATTATCCTATCTAACTTTTTTTTTTTTTTTTACCCTTTTTCAGCATCCATTCATATCACATTACTTATTATTATTATATATTTATATATATATTACACACATTCGCACACATCCCTATATGAATTGATTAAAAGAGGAAATAAGAAGAAAATCATAATTTAAAAAGGATATTTTTGTCTAAAAATTAATGTTAGTAGAGTCCATAAAAATATAAACTTAAAGTAATAAATGCCTTCAAAACTAACCAATCATAACCGGCGACTGTGAATGGACAGTCGCTTGCACGACTGCAATTAGCACTTCTCTCTCTATATATATATATTTGAAATGCTCATCACAATATAAATTGTGAATCCATTCCATTTTATCACACGACATGTATTATATGAATTGAATCGTAAAGTTGGATCCCTTCACCAATGAACACAGATGATAACCGTTAAGGTAAGCACTAAAATTTCAGTGCACGAACCAAATTGAGTAGGTAAGAATAAAAGAACTAAAAATGTTTCAAAATCAAATTGTCCCATATTATAAGGGTTCGAACTGAGTAATTGTGTACTAAAAGGGACAGGTGGGGCAAAGCTCGATGACTCGCCTCATTCCCTGATTAAAGGGATGGGAGGCTGACTGCGCCTTCTTTTCTCATTAAAGGGACTAGTGGTCAACTACACCTTCTTGGATGGGATTAGTGATAAAAGGTGATAGAACGGTATTAGAACCTAACAACAGAGTCAAACAAAAGCTTCCAAAGAAGGAATAGCTGTGAGTCCAGTATCAAATCCGAGGTGCCCGAGGAGAGGCATTGCTCGAAGTGATCGATTTACCCTCCATCGCCTATTGCAACTTAAGAGACCCATCGGTTTCTCAACTTCATGGCGCATAACAATTACTCCATATATAAGTTTTAAACTTGTTATTGAAAATTTGATTCAATGCTTTTTGTGTTAATAGAACTCTGACTCACATAACTCCACTACTGTTCTTTGCCTTCTCTAGCACTAGCCACTATAGAAACTGATGCCACAAGATCTCCGGTATTTGTTCCTTGAGATGGTTTTTCCTGTTATTTTTTAAAAGTACTCCATCAAGCTACCCAAACGAGGTGTGGAGGGAAATTTCCCCACCAATCGTAAAACACCACGGGTTCGCAGAATAAGAAAGGTCCATCACTAGAGTAACTAGTCTAGAAGCCCAACACAGTTGGAAGCCCAGCAAGAAAGGCCTCGAAGCATTTTAGTCATCCCAGGTAGAAGAACGCAGCCCATGATGTGGCCCAGACCAAGCGCATTCAAAAACCCATAACGCCTGTCATGAAGAAATCGTAGGAAAATAGGAACCATAAATGCTAACGTCCAAAACCGCTAATAATGGCCCCATGAAAAGCTCTGTATAAACATATAAATAAAAGGTTAATGAGAAGAGAAAGGCATCGATTTCAATTATCTTCTTCTTCTGCTATCAAACTTTTTTCAATTTTGTCGTATTTTTTTTATTATAATTTTTGCATTTTTTCTTAAGTGTTCTGGTGTAAAAATCTACACCTACACTTTGTCGCCGTCTGTGGGAAGCTTTACAAAAAAGCCTTTCACTATTTCTTTCCTGCGACATCACTCTGAAATGGCAACGAGATTAGATGCCGCGCAGGTACAACAACAGGAAATTATACAAAAAATGCGCAGGAGATGCAAACACAGTTTGTTGTCCTCCGGCAAGCAAATGAAGCTAGTACTGAGCAGATCAATGTGTTGAAGCAAGCCAACGAGGCTAACCTAGCGCAAATTAATGCTCTATGCCAAGAGAATGAAGGACTCCGGACCACCATTCAGTAAGGCAATCCACCGATTGCCCCTCAACCAGAGCATAAGAATGAGCCGGTGGATCCCCCGATAGCACCTCATACTCAGGGACTTAACAACCCTCTCTAGCAGCCAAGGGCTCTTTGGCAACAAATCAATTTACAACATAATGCTTTGGACCGAAATGACGGCGAAAAGACAGCAAGTCAGTCTCGTATCATGGCAGACTCCACATTAAGAGGACCACGAGCCACAAAAATACCAGCTACGGAAGATCATGTTGAGTTAGCAAGAAAAAGCACTTGAGCCCTATGTGGGGACCAGTAATTTCTAGGAAGTGACATCATCGCCCAATTCCGAAAGGAGATAGACGAGCGTATCAAAGGGCTGAAGGCCCAAACACCTGAAGATATGGCACGGGAGTTTACTGTCTCTATAGTCAAAACTCCCTTCACGAATGAAATAGAACAGGTCAAAAAACCCAATAAATTCACAATGCCAAAATTCATCAAGTTCAATGGGACTAATAATCCACTTCAACATTTAGACCATTACAACCAGGAAATGACTATAGAAGCACGAAACGATCCATTCATATGCAAAATCTTTCCATCTAGCCTAACAGGGGTAACGTTGGAATGGTTCAAGAACCAACCACACAAATCAATCTCAAACTTCGAGTCATTGTGTATGACATTTCTAGCCCAATATTTTGGAAACAAGAAGCAGAAAAAAAAAACCATCTCTAACCTCTTCACAATTCAATAGATGAGAGGGGAAGGCCTCCAGGCCTTCCTCACTCAGTTCAATATGGAGTCTTTGGGTATTCTGGACGACAACCAAGCTATAACCATAAAAGCATTCAAAATAGCCATGATACAAGGCACATATTTTACTCCTCATTAGTGAAGAAGACTCTAATAGACATGTCGGAGTTGAATGTAAGAGCACAGAATTACATCAGACTCGAAGAGAATGAGATGACCAGGAAGCAGAGAGCAACGCTAGTTACAGTGAAAAACCGACCAAAAGAACGACCGAGTACCTCACGAGCCCAGCGAGAGCCCCCGAGTATCAAAGGAAGAGCTCCTGAGAAGAGGTCACGAACCATAAAGAATGTCACACCTCTCAAAATCACGTTAGCAAGGTTGTATCAGGAAACCAAGGGTAGGAAAATTTTCCAAATCCCTTCACCAATCAGACAACCAATGGATCAAAAGGATCAGAGTAAGCACTATGCATTCCATAGTGATTTCGGACACCTAACCAATGATTGCAGGAGTCTGATAAAATAGGTAGAGGCCTTAATAGCCAAGGGTAAGCTAGCCAAGTACCTCGCCGACCCAAGCCATCAAAGGCAATCTAAACGAACCAGACCAACACCAAAAGCTGCAACAGATAGTCAGCCTGTTCGGGTCATTAACATGATTCATAGCCATCCAGAAGAGGACGAACAACCAAAAAATTCCTACAAGATTCAAATCAAGCAAGCTCAAAAACTATGAAGAATTGGGGAAGTCAACATGATCGAATGTAGGTTGAGCTCAACCCAGATTTTC